CACCACCACCACCACCACCACCACCACCACCACCACCACCACCACCACCACCACCACAACCCAGCTTGCCACCACCGCCCGGCTAAGTTATTGGTCTTTTTAATAACAGCAGTGGGCCACTCAGAGGTCTATGAGGATAAGTTATCTTGATCCTTCCTTACACCACCGACAGCACAATCCCCATTAACTTAGGTTTTTTTTTTTTTTTTTTTTTTTTTTTTTAAATAAAAAACAAAACCCAGAGCCAGATATTGTGAGGGCAATACAGACCCCATCTTAGGGGAGGGCTACCATCTTAGATCACCTGCTGTACTCAGTTCCAGGAAGGACCTCAGGAATGTGCATGACAATTCAAACAGGGCAGTATGCTCCTGCAGACATCCTGTCTGCAGTTTATGACCTTGAAGATATCCAGATAATCCTGCTCAGCAAGTTGTTGTTCTCCACCAAAAGTCTAGACCAACAATTTCAAAAAATTACCTTGTCCCATATCGCTTCTGCCCAATCCCAAGTTGCCAAAGCATGTAATTCCCAGCTTGTGGTTTTTCCCTGTAAAAATTCTCTACACCTGGGCTCATGGCCACTGTCGCATTTCCCTCCATTTGCCTGGTACTGGCCTAGGTTGAACCTGACAATAAAAGGACCCTTATGTGCTTGCATTGGAAACCGGCTCCTTTGGTGGTCCCTGGGGGTTTCTCGAAAATGGGTATAACAGTATCAGGGTGAAAGTTGAAAGGTCAGCCAGGCACTAGTTCTTACCTCTAAGAAACCCTCAGCCTAAAGAGAGTGAGTTCCTGTTTCCTCATGCCTTATATACCTTTCTCTGTCCAGACATCACTTCCTGGTATTAAAGGCGTGTGTGTGCTTCCTAGTAATGGGATTAAAGGTGTGTGCCACCACTGCCTAGCTCTGTTTCCAGTGTGGCCTTTGAACTCACAGAGATCCAGAGGGATCTCTGCCTCCCTAGTGATAGGATTAAGGGTGTGTGCCACCACTGCCTGACCTCTATGTCTAATCTGGTGGCCGGCTCTGTCCTGATCCTCAGGCAAGTTTATTAGGGGACACAATGTATCACCACACTTCCTTGCCTGCTTGCTCTGCTTCTTGCTGGCAAGTCCAATCCTTCAATGGCATTAGAGCCTGCCAGGATTCCAGCATATGCTGAAGACCAACCGAGACATTCAGTTTCACAGACTAGATTCTTGGACTTTTTGTTGGTAGATAGCCATTGTTGCATTAGCTGGACCACACCCTGGACCACATTCTAAGAAATCATATATTGTTGCAGTAATGCCCGCGCTACCGCCACCCGTTTACCATGTCTGAGTGAGGGGCTGTGGATTAAAAAATAGAGACAAAAAGTCATTTGCCACCGCAGAATGCCGAATGCCCTTTATTGAAGGAGGGAGGAAACCTTAAATACAGGCTTACAGCACAATGGAGGATCCCCGGAGGGCAGAAGTTCACTACCGAATGTTCTACATTCTTGCATCTAAGCTGTTTACACCAAATGCAGGATACACGAACAAAGAACCTCTGGTGAGCATGGCAGGGAATCAGCATAGGGAAGACATCTGGTCAAGGTCGGCAAGCAGGCAACAGTTTACTCAATATTGGTAGGCCAGGGCCCACAATATATGTGATTTATAGTTTTATAAATCAATCAATAAAAATTAATTAAGAACAATTAATAAATCACTTATATTCATTTTATCGTTCTGTTTCTCTACAGAACCTTGACTAGTACACTGACCTTGAATTCACTCTGTAGCCCACACAGGTCTGGTGTTAGGTCTCAAACTCAAACAAAAAGGTAACTGAGGTGCCATTAACATATCAAAGCAGATGCTGGCTGCCAGCTTCTCTCAGCATCCCCAGTACCTGTTACAGAGACATTCCTGGTTGGCATACCCCACCCCACATCCTAAACTCTCCAGCCCATCTTCCCCTCCCCTAGTTTCTCTGATTCCTATATAACCGAGCCATTTTTGGCCACATAATCTTTTTATTTTTTTACCTCTTGGCTCCCGTTCTCCTGGCCTCTTGGCTTCTGGTTCTCCCCTCTTCCCTCCCCTCTGTCCTCACATGGCCCAGTTCAGTCTTCCAGTCATGTTCACTCTGGACTCCTCCAGATGTCTCTGCCTGTGCTCTCCCTCATATCCATAATAAAAACCTCAACCCCTTAGGAGCAGTCATGTCTGTAAGCATTGGAGCCTACAAAATGGCTTGGTAAGGGGTGCAAGAAGAGGTTCGTTCATATGAGGGCCTGAGGGCCGCCCACCTTATATGGGGGCGGGTGAGAAGAGAGAAAGAAGGAATCCAAGATCGTAAGAAGCCGGCCATCCCTAGAAAGGATAGAATTTCATCCTTTGCCGTGGGGACTGTGAGTGACTGGACTAAGTGTTTTCTATCCAGGGTAATGGCTTTATAAATTGGATCGATAGCTAATCCCAGTTAAGTAACTTGAGGAGTGGACAGTAGGACCTTAGAGGGAGAGAAAGCTGGACAGAAAATTTAATAAGGTAGGGGTATCCTGCCTGGCTAATTTGCAGGGTCGGACTACAAATGGGAAGATCATCTACGTATCGTATAAGCTTGGATTTAGGAAGAGACAAAGAGAATAAGTCAGGCCAGAGTCTGACCAAATAAATGTGGGCTGTCCTGGAACCCTTGGGGTAGGACTGTCCAAGTGAGTTAGGTAGAAATGTGAGTATCCAGGTCAGTCCAAGTAAAAGTAAAGATATTTTGTGACCCGAGGATGGTGGGATGGGCCCACCACATGAACCTCTTCTTGCACCCATTACCAAGCCATTTCGTAAGCTCCAATACTTAAAAACGTCCTCCTTTTATTTCTTCTTTTTTGGTTGTGAGTCTAGCCTTTAACGGCTGAGCCATCTCTCCAGCCCTTCTTTTTTTTTTTTTTTTTTTTTTTTTTTTTATTCATCTTGAATTTGTAGTCTTCCTGCTTCAGCTTCCAGAAGCTGGAATTTGTACCATGAGGTCTGGAACAAATACAAAGATTTTTCTTTCTTTCTTTCTTTTTTTTTTTTAAAGCAAAATTATCTTTCTAGTCTCGAAGGCTTTGGCTTCATCTCCAGTTTGCAAAACAAAACCTAACAGCCATGTCAACCAATAGAACAATACACTCAGTGGCTAGAAGGGGCAGTGGGGCGAAGGAAAAGCGGGAGAAGGGAGAAAGCGAGCACTCGGAGGAGCCTGAACGACCTTTCCATGGGTAGACCGTGCTGCGCCTTTAGAGGATGTGTTAACTGATTGCCCGATGTATGCCTACAGCCCCGCTGGGGGTGTGTATACCGAGTACCTACTGTGTGCTTATCTCACATACTGAGCAAGTGATGATGGGAGCGCGACTACTTAGCCCCGGTAGTTCAACAACACAAACCCCAGCCCGGAGAGCTAGGCTTGCTCAGTGGGGTGGGGGTTGGAGAGTGTCCTAGCCCTTCCAGCTCGTCCAAGATCACACCCGGAGACCTCCACCTCCTCAGGACCCCGACCACGCTTGCGTACTCCGCTGCCTGAGAACCAGTCCTTCCCACGTTGGACTACATTTCCCACAGGCCTCCGCGCGGCATCCTTCCGGCTGCCTAGCGCCGGGCAGCTGCGAGAGGTGAGTTGGTCTCCTGCACTGAGGAAATGGGCGCGGGGGCGGCGCGGATTTGGCTTTCCGTTGGTTTGAGAGGCTTGGAGTCGGTGACGCTGAGTGGACACCGGGTGCCCCGCGGTGCTCAGTCTTCCCGCTGCAGGGCCCAGAGGCCCAGCATGGCTCCGAGTTACGCGTGCCAACCCCAGAGAAGGCCCCCCCGAACAAAAAGGCAGCAGACGGCTGCAGGGGCAGAGCGGCTTTGTCCGCGGCCGCCCGGCGTGGCCGTCGCCTCCCGGGCCTGCCGCACCCGTGGAGTGTCAGCTCCGTCCGCCGCTCTCCGCTTCCAGTGGGTTATGTGTGAAGTGGTGGGAGTGACCGGCCCGGGGGTGTGTCCCGAGGCCACCAAGCCCCGCACCTTCCCCATTCGGCTTGTTCGTCTTCAGGAAGGCGAGGGAATAAATGGAGAAAGCGATGGTTGTTGCACACATAGACACCCGACATTACTGTTGTATATGTGGAAGAAAAGAAGTAGCCAAGTTACTTTCTCCTTCCGCTTTTTCCTATGGATTGTAATCCTTATTTTTCCAAGCATGGGGACATTGACTACTCTTTACTGTGAAAGAGTTAAACATTAACTTGCCCTGAAAAGGAGGGGCGGGCTTTGGCGTTAATTAGACCAGGGCGAAGAGTCCGATCAATGCAGATTAATAGAACCCATCACTCATAGACTATTGCTCTGTTGTTAAATGCAGGCCCATCCCTTCTTTGTGAGGTTACAGGTTTCCTTTTTTTTTTTTTTTAGTTGTATTTCACTTATTTATGTGTATGTGTGTATTTATGTGAGTACAGGTGTCAGCGGAGGACAGAAGGAGGCGTCCTATTCCCAGGAATTGGAGTTATAGATGTTTGTGAGCCTCCATGTGGGTGCTGGGAATTGAACTTGGAGCCAGTGCTCTTTACCTTTGAGCCATGTCTCCAACCTCACAGGTTTCTTTTTAAAAATCATTTTTTAATTTTCATTTTTATGTGTTTTGACTGCTTTTATGTCTGCACCACTGTGTGTGGCTGGTATCTGAGGAGGGCTTCAGATCCTCTGGAACGTTTTGTGAGCAGCCATGTGGGTGCCCTGCACCAGCAGCCGGCGCCCTTATCTGCCGATCCATCTCTGCATTCCAGGCTACAGCTTTCTTACTCTTGAGGCTTGCTTTGGTAGTTTGTTTTTAATTATGGAGGAAGATTCATTTGCTAAATCACCCTCCTTACCTAAGAATAGCACTTTGGCCTTCCTTCCTTCCTTCCTTCCTTCCTTCCTTCCTTCCTTCCTTCCTTCCTTCCTTCCTTCCTCCCTTTCTCCCTTCTCTCTCTCTCTCTCTCTTCTTCTTCTTCTTCCTCTTCCTCTTCCTCGTCTTTGTCTTCTTCTTCGTCTTCTTCTTCCTCTTCTTCGTCTTCTTCTTCCTCTTCTTCTTCCTCTTCTTCCTCTTCTTCTTCCTCCTCTTCCTCTTCTTCTTCCTCTTCCTCTTCCTCTTCCTCTTCTTCTTCCTCTTCCTCTTCTTCTTCTTCCTCTTCTTCTTCCTCTTCTTCCTCTTCCTCCTCTTCCTCTTCTTCTTCTTCCTCTTCTTCCTCTTCTTCTTCCTCTTCTTCCTCTTCCTCTTCTTCCTCTTCTTCCTCTTCTTCTTCCTCTTCTTCCTCTTCCTCCTCTTCCTCCTCTTCCTCTTCCTCTTCCTCCTCCTCCTCCTCTTCTTCTTCTTCTTCAGTCTTAACTTGCAACCAAACTGATCAGGAATTCACCATGTAACCCAAGCTGCACTTGAATTTGTGGGTGAACCTCCTGCCTCAGCCTCCAGGCTGTAACTATGCCACTAGGCCCAGCCAGGGTAGCATTTAATCTTAAATCAATCCCTGTCTCTTCTAATCCCATCTCAGTAACAGCAGCTGTTCCAAACTCCTAAATTACTAATCCTCTTTAAAGCCTTTTGCCTGGGGGCTGGGATCGTACCTCACAGGTAGAGAGCTATTCTAGCATAAACCGAGTCAGGGTTTAAGACCGGCACTTTGTGGGCAGGGCAGGGCGTGGCTTACAGAAGAGCCTTTCCCCTCCATCCATCCTCAATGTGTCAGTCAAGATTTTGAAGCAGGATGCTGGCTTTTCTCAGTTAGTCTGGAGCTTTAATACCAAAGTGACCTACCTGGTGTTTTGGTTTCTGCCTAGGTGACTAATGGGGGGTAGACTCATCACACATTCTTCCTTTCCAGTGGTTATTCACACAAGGAATGGGAAAGTGTTGAAAGTGTTACATTTCTCTCGGGAGCTGCGTTTTTCCAGTTGTGTTGGACAGTCTGCAAGTAACCCTGAGAGACGCTAGCTAGCTCTAGCCTAGTGTATGACGGGGAGGAAGTCACAGGCCTCAGCTGCAGGGCCACCACACCCAGCATTGCTTGAGGCGTCATTGATCTCGGCTGCCCTGAGTTCAAGGCAGGAAGGACACAAAACGGTTTGCTTGGTAACCCGGGCTTTCACCTCAGCACCCCTCCCCTTTCCAGTGCTGGGGTTCCAGTTCAGGGCCTTGTGTGTTGGAGGCAAACACTCCACACCCGAGTTATCTCCCAAGAGTCTTCTGCTTTTGAGGCTCATGAGGAGATCTTAGGGAGAGGTCTGTGAACAAGGGAGGTGGTTTACAGTTTTCAAAGTGAGCTCATTATAGGCCACTGACATGTCTTAGGGGAGGCTGGAATGTAGGGACATTAGTGTGGGTTATGAGGCTAAATTGCCAGGGTTCTCAGCTGAAACCTGCCACGTTTTCCTGGTTTGATGTATCCCTCTGTGCTGTATGTAGTCCCACGGGAAAGACGAGGCCTCCCATATAGGACCGCTCGGAGTAAAGGAATTAACCGAGGGCTGGGATGTGGTATAGTGTTGGCCTACCATGTCCAAAGCCCGAGATGCCGTCCTCAGTGTGACGGCGACAGCCTTCCCCTCAGAAACAAACAAGAAAACAATTGTAAAACCCATGGGTAGTACTTGGCACTGTAGCTAAGGGTTCAGTCCCTCTGCTAACTGTTGTGATACATTCTGGTTTTCCTCATCTCCTACGTCCAAAATCTGAGTAGTTTGCCACACTTACTTTATCTGTCCATGTACTCCCAGTTGTAGATTTGATAATCAACCACTGCCTGTCAGCTGGGCATGGTGGCACAATTGTTTAAAGTTTATTTTATGTGTATAAGTGTTTTGCCTTTACCACATGCATGGCTGGTGCCTAAGGAAGTCTGAAGAAAGTGTCAGATCTCCTGGGACTAGAGTTAGAGATGTTACGAGCCACTCTACAGACGCTGGGAACCGAACCTGTGCCTCTGCAAGAGCAAGTGCTCTTTTCACACTTATTTATTTGTGTGTATGTGTTCTCTTGTGTGTGTTTATCTTTGTGTTTATGATGCGGTGTTAGACCTAAGTCAGAATCCTTTAGAAGGATCTGTGCTCCCACACAATGCCTACCTTGTGCTGGGTTTCCTCAGAGCTTTCTGTAGAAATCTCTGGTTTGGGTGGGTTTTGGGATGGGTGTGAGTATGGTAATGAGGAATGATTTGGAAGCAAGAATGATGGGTGGGGGAGAGGGCGCTGCTCTTACGAACATAAATTAATTTGGTAACTTTTAGGCACATCTGGATTCATGAGTTCTTTTTATTCTAGCTTTGCTTGTCTGAACCCCAGTTTTCCATAGAGAAATATCGAAAAGCCAACCAGCTCCTGCAGTTCTGGCACTATGGCCCTGGCCCAGGTAGGTTACTGTTTTTTCTCCTTGCCCCAGACGTATGACTCTCTGTGCCTCCCAGGTGCTGGGACTGCAATGTGTACAGCAGGCTTGGTACCTGTTTCCTCTGAACACTCAGTTTCCAGATGGCTGTGTACATAGTCATCCTTTTCAGGAACCCTCGGATCTGGCATGCTCCATGCAGCACCCACCCCAGCTCTCATTGCGGGAGGTTGGAGACACAACCCACTGCTGTGAATGCTTCCTCCGAGGCTGTGTCCCCACATGCTCCTGCCAGAGCCACAGAGAGCCTAAAACGCCGTGAGGAAGACCCAGACGAGCTCTGCAGAACATTCCCCAACATTTTCTAGTGGAGCAGCTTTTGGGTTTAATAATTAAAATAGTTTTTCAATGTATTATCTTTGTGTGTATGTGGGTGCATGTGCCATGGTGCACACGTGGAGGTCAGAGGACATCGATTTTCTCTTTTGAACTTTATGTGGCTTCCCGGGGTCTCTCAGACTCAGCTTTACCTACCGAGCCATCTTGCCAATCCTGATTTTTAGTGTTTAGATTCCAGGGGAAATTTTTTCTCTTAGTATAGTGATTTTTTTGTTGTTATTGTTGTTGTGAGACAGGGTTTCTCTGTCCTGGAACTCACTTGGTAGCCCAGACTGGCCTTGAACTCACAGAGATCTACCTGCCTCTGCCTCCCAAGTGCTGGAATTAAAGGCATGTGCCACTACTGTCCAGCTTGATTTTTTTTAAAAAAAATTGTTTTATACAGAAAATATCTGTATTCTAATATACAGTATGGCATTTTGTTTTATTATCATTTTTTAAATTGTGTTCATCTGTACACCTGTGTGTGCATGTGTGTAGAGGCCAGAGGCTGACACTGGATGTCTTCCTCAATTTGATTTCCACCTTAGTTTTGAGACAGAGTCTCCCTGACATGGAGCCACCCATTCAGTAGACGACGGGCTGGCCAGCAAGCCCCAGGGACCTCCTGTCTCCACTCCCCAGTGGTGGGCTCACGGGCCTGTAATTACGGCGTGTGCCTGGCTCCTCACATGGCTGCTGGGAATCCAGACTCAGGTCCTCGTGCTTCTGCGGCACGTGCTCTACTCACCGAGCTCTCTCTAGTCCCCGAAATGGCGTTCCACGAGCTGTCTAGAGAGGTTTGTGTGCAAATTATCAATGTATAGCTGGACAAATGTTCATAAACGGAGTGTATCTTTACTTCCAAATCAAGAAAGGAGTGTACAAGCACTTCGGTTGTCCCATCGGTCACCTGCCGTCCAGTTAGCCCAGATGAAGACTCTGTCCTTCCTTCAAACACCAGAGTCATTTTACCTATATTTGAACTTACTTTTTCCTTTTTTCCTCCCTTGGTGTTTTTGTCTCTTTTCTTGTCCCCTCTCCTTCCCTCTGCTTCCCTCTCCTCTGTTCTTTTTGACAGGGTCTTACTGTGTAGCTCAAGCTAGCCTTGAACTTGAAATTTTCCTGTGTCCAGTTCAGACGCCAACTCTGCCCAGCTTTAATTTTTAACTTTGAGCTTTAAGTGGAATTATGTAGTTCAATACATTTTAAAAGAATATCCAGGGAGAGTCTGATTATATCCCAAGTAGAATCGCTAGCCCATCGAAACCGTCTTTGGCTGTTTTAAAGTATATGTGTCATTAATGTGAATGTATGGAAAGACAGCTGACATCAACCCCTGACTTGCATGTGTGTTAAGATCTTAAAATGTCCAAGGCTTTCCAGTGGACAGGTTAGGTTGGGATGTTATTGAGGGTTTATGTGATAAGATCTAAAAATCCATGTGAGGCTGGGTATGGAGGGGGACGCCTTTAATCCCAACACTCAGGAGACAGAAGCAGGGGAATTTCTGTGAGTCTGAGGCTAGTTTGGTCTACATAGTGAGTTCCAGGCCAGGCAGGGCTACATAGTGAGACCCTGTCTGAAAATCAAAATTAAATAATTAATGTGGTTGTCACCTTTGTTAGGGCCAGTGGCTTAGCCAGGTGTGCATTGCCTCACTGGTCAGGAAGCCTTCCTTTCCAGCTAGTTCCACTATCTGCTGGGTTATCTCTGCACCCCCTAGTCTTATACCTCTCTAGTAGCCCACAGGATATTCATACAAGCTGTTCACATTTTCCTATGGGAACCAGGGAACACCTAATCCTCTTCCAAAGCCTTTCCGAAGGCCCTTGTTCTCTCCCCTCCTGAGGGTGACCTTTTATGGTGCGCCATGTCTTCTCTCTCGCTGTGAGTACATGTGACCGACAGATTGCTTGGGTCTCGGCTGTACTGGGTTAGCCATTGTTTTAGGGTGGAAGAGCGTTCCTCAGCACCACCTTGATAAGAATGGAAACACGCACAGAAGGACCAAGACCCATCTCTGCATTGGGCATGGTGAGCATCCCTACAATCCTAGTGCTTGGAAAGTTGAGGAGGCCAGCCTGGGCTCTGTAGTGAGACCCTGTCTCAAAAAGAAAAGAAGAGAAGAACCCTGTGACAAAGCCCCTCATGATTGTTTATGGGATGCACTTGCTTTGAGCAAGATTTCTCAACTTTGCTACCATTGACATTTTGAGCCAGAAAATCTTTAATGGTAGGGATTACCTGTGCACTACAGGCTGTGTGACAGTCACTCTGCCTCTACCATTAGGTCCCTGTAACACTGGCACACCTTACCCCTTGTTGTGACAACCAATTCGTCTCCAGACATGGCCTTTTAGGGAACAAAATTGCTCTTTGTTGAAAAATGCTAGTCCTGTCAGTCATGATGGGAATACACCTGTCATCTCACCCATTGGGAGGTGAGGCAGGAGGATCATGATAATCGTTCTTGCCTACATAGAGGATTTAAGGCTGGCCTACGTTCAACCCCAGGAACCCACATGGTGGAAAGAGAGAACTGATTCTCTGAGAAATACACATAAAATAAATAAATACATAGATTGAAAAGGAAAGAAACCATTAGTCTAGGGTGCTGTCTTCACAGTATTTTCATGACTTAGTGTCCTCTAACTCAAGGACGGAAAAGACGTTGAGTGAGACCTGCTAAACAGGGTGAGAGTGACTGTGATTCATAAGTGTTAGATACTCTAAACAAGAGCTGGGGGGCTCTTGGGACTGTGCCAAGTTCAAAGATCGATCTTTCTATCTATCTATTGATCTATCGTCAGGGTCTTATTATGTAGCCTTGACTGGCTGGCTTTGAACTCACTATTTAGACCAGTCTGGCCTTGAAGTCATGGAGCTCCACCTGTATCTGTCTTCCAAGTGCTGGGATTAAAGGCATGCACCACCATCACTAGTGCTCAAATATCTAAACGTTAAAAAGAGATATTAACTATATGTAATGTAGTCAAGATGAGGACAAGTATTTACCAAAGTTTTAAAACTTAGATTGTAACAGGGAACATACTTAAAATAGAATCTGACTTTGTAATGAACTTGAATCAGTCTGTCTCAGATACTTTGTAGTGTATTTGGAATGAATTTTTTCTTTTTGGAAGGAGATTTTGTCACTATGTTTTCTGGCCAGTGAAACTGAATGCATTATTTCTGTAGAATTTATAATGGGAGCACATAGTACACCATACAGTTGGGCACACTTGTGGGTTTTGTTGTATTCTTTTCTAGAATGAATGAAAAATCGAATCTTGGGCTGACAAGATGGCTTAGAGGTAGAGATGATGGTCTGAGTTCAATCCCTGGGACCCACATGGTAGAAGGAACTGGCCCTTATGAGTTGTCCTCTGACCTCTACACATGTGCTCTGGTTTGCTCGTGCACGAGCATGTGTCAACACACACACTCTAAATAAAAATGAAATAAACATTTATTTTAGAACTTTCATTTTATGTGCATGTACAGGAAGGACTGTGTGGAACATCATCACTCTGCTGCCGAGACACTGATTCTCTTGCTGTGTCTGTTCCTGTTGTGGTTGGTGGTCAGGCCCATGCTGTTGGCATGCTGGGTGCTTCCCATTGTGCACACGGTCCTCCTTCAGTCTCCACTCTCTCCTCAGAAGGAGAAAAAAGAAAGTTCCCCTGCACTACCCTGAGTTTGTTTCCTTAGGGTTCAGTGACGTTCAGGGATGTGGCTGTGGATTTCTCACAGGAAGAATGGGAATTCCTGGACTCTGCCCAGAAGAGTCTGTACCGGGACGTGATGTGGGAGAACTACAGCAACTTCATCTCGCTGGGTGAGCTGATCTGTCCTGAGGATTAGCTTTCCAGCTGTAGAAATACCCTTCATTTTTACTTTCTGTTTGATAGGTTAGAAATAGGTCCTTTCATTTAGCGTCTAATCATTCTTGGCCCGGGTACTCTTCTCATTTTCTCTGATTTCTTCCTTTGTGTCCAGATTTCCCTGGTGTCAGGATTTGATATGGTGGAAGTATTTTCAAAGAAAGCATACCTCATTTGAGCCCAGAATTGATGTAGACACTCTTTGCTCTGCTATAGTTCCAAAGGCAATGCATGTGGGATGGACACAAACTTAAAACTTGGGGAACACACTCCATTGTGGGTGCCAGACCTCTAATGTTCTTCCTGCTTCACATTTGAAAGGTGAAATCTGGGCTGGGGCTGTACTCAATGGTAGAGTATGGTGTGTGAGGCCCTGGGTTTGATCCCAGTACCTCAAATATAGTTAGAAATCTAAGCTTTTTGTAATTTCAGTGATAGACTGAAAGGGTCTGACTGTTTCTAGAAGCTTCTTACCCTCTCAGCCCAGTGAGAGGCATGTGTGTTCTGTGTACTTAGTGCTTAGACGCTGTTCTGGGTGTAATCATCCTCATTTCTGGGGAGACTGCTCAGGCACGAGAGGTTGCGGCTGTGGAGACGGCTTGGTGAGTGAAGCACTGAGTTCAAGTCCTCAGAGTGCACGTGACAGTGCAGCAGCGCCCGCCCGCCCGTGTGTGGTCCTGGCATCCCTGCGGTGAGGGAGGAGGTAGAGAAGGACAATCCCTGAAGCACTCAGGCCAGCTTGCCCGATGAGCACAGCGGTGAACAAGAGACCCCGTTTCCAACAGTGGAAAGCCAGGACCAATGTCTAAGGTTCTCTGACCACGTGTGTACTATGGCATGTGTATGTACACACACACACACACACACACACACACACACACACACACACACACACACACACGTTATTTACTGAGGTGGCCTAGGCAGGATGTGAAGCAACCTGTCCAGAGCTGTAGTCACCACACAGAGTGCGGCCTCTCTTCAGAGCCAGACTAAATTAGGTGAAGTATGTCCTTAGTCATCTGGCGTTTATTCTTCATGGTCTCTAGGTTTCTCTGTAATGGTTGTCCTGGAGCTCTGTCACATGAATTTAATGCTTTGGTTATGAAGCGCTGTTTTGGAGACAGGCATGGTGGTGATCCCTGTACTCAAGAGGCTGAGACAGGAAGATAGCCAGCCACTTGAATGCTGGGCTGGACTATGTAGTGAGCTCCTGGCTGGTTGGGCTTCAGAGCGAGACCCTGTCTCAAAATTAACTAATAACTAATTAAAAATGTAATGAAATCTGAAAGTAAGGATTTTCAGGTTTATAATTCGATGTGGCATTTTTCTATTAAGCAGGACCTTCCATTTCTAAGAGAGATATGATTACCTTACTGGATGAAGACGGGAAGGAGCCCGAGATAGTTGTGAAGGAAGGGAGAAGACATTGTCCTGGTGAGTGAGGGTGAGCTGGCATGGGGAGCTGTTGTTACAGGTCGTTGCTCAGCTCAGTGAGGTGGGGTCCTTGCTGAGAAATTGTTGGGGATCTCTCTTCCAAAGCCTTGGCCTCAAGGGAAACTTGAGACCTGAAGCAAATTCAGATTTTAAAATATTATGTGTGTATGTGCAAGGGGGTCGGAGATAGGCCTGTATGCCATGGCATGCATGGAGTTCAGGGGACCACTGTGTGGGATTGGTTGTCTCCTTCACCTTCCCATGGGGCCTGGGAGCCAGCTTAGGTCAGTGGGCACTGTTCGCCCCCGAGCCTAAATTCCCCGTCTTTCAACTCTGAAGTAGCAAAACTGCTTTGTTTTGTTTTTCGAGCAGGGTTTCTCTGTGTAGCCCCGGCTGTCCTGGATTTCACTCTGTAGCCCAGGCTGGCCTCAAACTCAGAGATCCGCTGCCTCTGCCTCCTGGGTGCTGGGATTAGAGGTGTGCGCCCCTACTGCCCGGCTGCAAAACTGCTGCCTGTGAGCTTGGTTACCTTGTTTCTTAGCCTCCTTATTTCCATCCCACTTCGAAGGAAGCCATTATCAGTAGAAGGGAAAAATGATTGTAAATACAGGAACAGAAACCAGAAAAATAAAACAAGGAACGAGATTGATAAAGCCAAAATTGCAATAAATGTCGTTGAAAACTTGAACAGAGTTAGTGAACACTTAGTTGAACTAACTGGAAAAAAAGAACATAAATTACTACCAGGAATGGAAGAAGGGATTTCCCAGTCTCATCTGGAGCTGAGAAAAGAATCCATGAATAACTTTGCACCAATAAATTTGATAGTTGGTGTGAGGTAGAAAAATTCCTTGAACAACACCAAGATTACAAAAATAACTCATGTCTATTAAAGTATGGGATTCATTGTGAAAAATCTTTTGTAAAGAAAATGCTCGGGTTTTTTACTGGTGGGAAATTCTATTAAAAATTTAAGGGAGAAATAGCATTATTGTATGAATTTCTCCAGAAAATAAAGGTATACCTCTTGGCTTACTTCATAAGTCCTATGTAACTCATAATTGACATTTACTGAAACAGATTATAAACCCTTATTGTTTGCTTAGAAATTTCTTAATACAATACTAGTAAGTCAAGCTCACACGTAGTTGTGTGGTCGCTGCACAAGTGTGTGGGTTCACGTGGTCCGGTCTGTGGAATGAAGACACAGAGGCATCTTAAGAGGGAATTTAGCCTATCATGGCTGAAGGGGACTGAAGCCCTTTCCCTTCACCTAGGGCATATTTATTTACTCCTTTTTACAGTATAGATAGTTAATTTCCGTACCTTCAAAGCAAACCAAAAGGAGCTTTCAGAGACCAAATGCCAGGTGCAAATTACTTGATTTCTCAGGTACCTCGGTTTTCTGGGTTTCCTGGACCAAGTTTTGCATAGGCCTTTGATCCTTGGGGGACTCTCTGATCCTTGACTCTCAGACAAGATTCACACAGGGCGACAAGAGAAACAGAAGGTGTGGTTGAACAAAGGAAGGAGCAGGGCTCGGTGCTGCTCTCTGGAGCCAGGCCAGGAGCTCAGCAGGAATGCCATCACACTCACCAAGTATTTAAAAATGACAGTCAAGTGGACCCCATTCCTGTAACTATCGCAGCTCAGTTAGATAGTATCATTTCACCATATTAAACAAACAAACAAGAGAGGCTATGTGGTTAACTGTTAATGTAAAGATAACACATGGCAAAACTCACATCCATTCCTGATCTGAAAAAGAAACAAACAAACCTATTAGTGAGTAGGGCGTGGTGATTCATGCCTGAAATCTTAGCACTCGGGGATGGAGGCCCCACCCCTCCCTAAGACAGGCTGCATTTCACCCACCTTAGTGGTGGCTTGCCTATCTTAAGGCTTCTTCTCTTTGGTGTGTGTTGGGGTGTGTATGTGGGGAGGAGAGAATGTTGCTGTGTGAGGATGTGCATGTGTTGGGTACATGTTCACATATGTGTGTGTGTGCATGTGGGGTACCTTCCTCAATGGCATCTTCACTTTATTTTTTTGAGACACAGCCTTGAACTGAACCTGGAACTAACTTATTGGCTAGACTGACTGGCTAGCAAATCCCCAGGGTTCCTCTGTCTCTGCCTGCCTGGTGCTGGGATTGCAGATGCACACCGCCGCCCCAGTCTCTTCACATGGGTGCTGGGGATATAAGCTCAGGTCTGCATGCTCCAGAACAAGTGCTTCACTGACTGCGTTGTTGCCGCATCTCTTCCTTGCTTGCTTGCTTTTCTGGAGACAGGGTCTCACTGTATAGCCCTGGCTGGCCCAGAATTCACAGACCCACCTGCCTCTGTCTCCCGAGTACTGAATTGAATGCACTACCATACCTGTCTGTGATCCTTCCTTCCTTTCTTCCCTCCCTCTCTTCCTCCTTCATTCTTTCCTTCCTTGCTTTTTCTTGGAGACAAAGTCTCTCAAATAGTCCAGGCTAGACTTGAACTCACTAGGTATCCAAGGATGACTTTGAACTTCTGATCCTCTTACTTCCACCTCCTGAGTGCTGGGATTATAGTCAAGCACCACCACACCCAGTTTGGTCTTTACTTTTTTTTTTTTTTCTTTTTGAGATGGGATCCTATGTTGCTCAGGCTGGATTCTAACTCTCATGGTCAAGTGATCCTTCTCCCTTAGCCTCTCTGGAAGTTGGGAATATAAGCACACATTACACTCTTCAATTGAGTTTTCTTTTTGTAGTTTTTGAGATGATCTTATTTGGCTTAAGCTGTCCTGAGACTCTGTGCAGCCCAGTCTGGCCTTAAACAAGTAGCATCCTCCTGCATTAGCCTCCTGAGTGCTGGGATTGCAGATGTAAGTCTGTTTGGCTTTATTTTACATGTGCTGTCTTAGCACCCGAAACAGGACTTCTGCTTAATTTTTATGCATTTTAATATTCATGAAGTGGCTTTGGCCACACTGAGCACCTTTACTCTGTGACAAAGTAACTATAGTGTTGTTTGTTGCTGGAGGGCTTCTCTCCAGGTTCCCCAAGCCCCGCAGTCCCACAATCCACTTATAAAATAATCACTCAGGCGCTTATATCACTTATAAACTGTATGGCCGTGGCAGGCTTCTTGCTAACTGTTCTTTTATCTTAAATTAACCCATTTTTATAAATCTATACCTTGCCACGTGGCTGGTGGCTTACCAGAGTCTTTACATGCTGCTTGTCCTGGCGGTGGCTGCAGTGTCTCCCTTTTCAGCCTTCCGCTTCCCAGAATTCTCCTCTCTCCTTGTCCCACCTACTTCCTGCCTGACAACCTACTTCCTGCCTGGTCACTGGCCATCAGTGTTTTATTTATATAGAGCAATATCCACAGCAGTTGTTCATGTTTTTCTGATAAAATTGTACACAATTGCATGTGAATGCCTGCTGTTCTTCCCAAGAACTTTTGGTGAGTGATTCTGAATAGGATGTGGGTTTTTGGGTGCACATGGGTTGAATTTTTTCAGAAATACCTGTTTACAGGAAGTATAGTAGGCATTACTTTAGGTCCTTCTAATTGTCTATGGAAGTTTTCTTCCTTCTGGAACAGGGATGCAACATGTTTCTTGTTTTCTTTCAGATTTGGAGTCCAGATTCAAGACCAATACTTTATCTGCAGACAAGGACATTTATGAAGTATATTCATTACAATGGGAGTTGATGGAGAAAATTAAAAGCCACAGTCCTCAAGGTTCTGTTCTTAAAGATGATTGGGAATGTGAAAGCAAGATTGAGCGACAAAAGGAACCACAGGGGGGTTATTTTGGGCAGGTGAAAATTACCTCTGAAAAAAGCACACACAAAAAGCACAGTTTCCTTGCTGAGTATCAGAAAGTTCAGAATGGAGAGAAGTTCTATGAATGTAAAGAGTGTAGGAAGACCTTTATCCGCCGCTCAACGCTAAGTCAACACTTGAGAATCCATACTGGTGAGAAACCTTATAAATGCAAGGAATGTGGGCAACCCTTCAGACAGCGTGCACACCTTATTCGACACCACAAACTTCACACTGGTGAGAAGCCCTATGAGTGTAAGGAATGTGGGAAGGCCTTTACAGTGCTCCAAGAACTCACTCAGCATCAGCGACTCCATACTGGGGAAAAGCCGTATGAATGCAAGGAGTGTGGAAAAGCCTTTCGGGTCCATCAGCAGCTGGCTCGACATCAGAGGATCCACACTGGGGAGAAACCCTATGAGTGCAAGGACTGTGGGAAGACCTTCAGACAGTGCACACACCTCACTCGACACCAAAGACTTCACACTTCTGAGAAGCTGTACGAATGTAAGGAGTGTGGAAAAGCCTTCGTGTGTGGCCCTGACCTTCGAGTACATCAGAAAATCCACTTCGGTGAGAAGCCCTATGCATGTAAGGACTGTGGCAAGTCCTTCAGAATATGCCAACAGCTGACTGTCCATCAGAGTATCCATACTGGGGAGAAACCCTATGAATGTAAGGAATGTGGGAAGGCCTTCAGATTGAGGCAACAACTTGTTCGCCATCAGAGAATCCATACCCGTGAGAAGCCCTATGAATGTCTAGAGTGTTGGAAGACCTTCAGTAGTTACTCCCAACTGATTTCACATCAGAGCATTCATGTGGGTGAGAGACCCTATGAGTGTGAAGAATGTGGGAAAGCCTTCAGACTGTACTCACAGCTCACTCAGCATCAGAGTATCCACACAGGTGAGAAACCTTATGAATGCAAGGAGTGTAGGAAACCTTTCCGCCTGCTCTCACAGCTCACTCAGCACCAGAGCATCCACACGGGTGAGAAGCCTTATGAATGCAAGGACTGTGGGAAGGCTTTTAGACTTTATTCATTTCTTTCTCAACACCAGAGGATCCACACTGGAGAGAAGCCCTACAAATGTAAGGAGTGTAAGAAGGCCTTCAGACAGCACTCACACCTCACCCAGCATCAGAAGATCCACAGTGGAACTTAAGCAAAACCTCAGTTCTATGTCATGGTGCAAAATGTCAGGAAATCCATTTTTGAGAATAATTTATTTCATGCTTATATAAGTAAGCATAAGAAATACTATGTTGCTTTAAAAGTTCTCCATTCTCACTTAACTGTTACCTATCTTCAGCAAATTCCTCTGAAGGAATAATTTGATGATGTAGGAAAATCTTAGCCTTATCAGTTGTCATCCCCACCTAACTGCTCTCTTACCATTGTGATACCGGACAGGACACTAAATATTAATGCCTTGTTTTGCTCACTGTCAAAATGGTGATAATAGTACTGATACATGTTATTTATTGTTATATAACAAATTACTAGAAAAACAGTAGTTTAAATAATATATACTTATTATTTAAAAATTTCTATAGATTGAGAGTCCAGACAAGCCTTAGTTGGGTCTTCCAGGTTTCAGCTAAGGCTTAACTAGAGAAAGATCCACATGAAGGGAACAAGTTAGACACCTACAACGCCTGAATTCTTTGAGAGCTGACACATTGAAGTTCCTGACCACTGCTGGTTTTGGTTCTGGATTTTGTTTTGTTTTTTTTTTTAGACAGGGTTTCTCTGTGTAGCCCTGGCTGTTTTGGAGCTCACTCTGTAGACCGGGCTTCCCCGAACTCACAGAAACCCACCTGCATCTTCCCCCGAGTACTGGGATTAAAGACACGTGTCACCACTGCCCAGCAAAGCTGTTGTTTTAGTGAGATTGTGGAATCCAAGAAAGATGGCTGCTAGCAGGATGGAAGTCAGCTAGCAAGAGTGAAATTACAATCTGTGTAATCTAATCATAAAAGAAACATCCCGTCATTTTACCACCTTCTACTGGTTAAAATAAGTTCTTAGGCTCAAGAAGATTGCATGAAACTGAATACTACAAGACAGGGGCCAGGGGCACCAGTTTAGAGCCCTCCTGCTGTGCTGCGTATAGAATTGATTTAAGAATGCAGTAGTGGGCCGGGCGGTGGTGGCGCACGCCTTTAATCCCGGCACTTGGGAGGCAAAGGCAGACGGATCTTTGTGAGTTCAAGGCCAGCCTGGTCTCCAAAGCGAGTTCCAGGAAAGGTGCAAAGCTACACAGAGAAACCCTGTCTCCACAAACAAACAAACAAACAAAATGCAGTAGTTAACACTTGACAGACTAACAGTTATAGTAGCATGTATCCTATAAATAACGCATATGATTGTTATCAGTATTGTCGGGTGGTATAGAAGGAAGATGATCCTGTGGAAGAATAAATGTAGAAATGCTTCCTGTCACATCTTTGCAGTTATAAACCTCAGTTTCTTCTAAGTCAGATCTAGGAGATTATAGTAATTGGAAGATTTCTGTCACTTGAGCTGCATCAAAAACTTCATGATAAAAGAGACTGAATTTCATGAATGTAGGTTGTTAAAACTTAACTGTAAAGAATCAGATGAAATGACTTCTTCAAATTAAAAAAAAAGATCATTTAGAGTCCCTTCTCTGACCAAATTCAAGATAAATCACACAATCTCTCTCTCTCTCTCTCTCTCTCTCTCTCTCTCTCTCTCTCTCTCTCTCTCTCTCTCTCTCTCTCTCGGTTTTTTTCAAGACAGAGTTTCTCTGTGAAACAGCCCTGCCTGTCTTGGAACTCACTCTGTAGACCAGGCTGGCCTGGAACTCAGAGATCCACCTGCCTCTGCCTCCTGAGGGCTGGGGTTAAAGATGTGTGCCACCACCGCTTGGCAGATTGCTGTATTTTCAACCTGTGTTTCAAGGTAGATTTTTTGACATGATCCTGCTAATACTTTGGTAATTATCATGATTATGGCTGCACAATCTAGTCAGCAATAGATGATGGTAGGACACCAAGTCATCATATTTATTTATTTATTTATTTATTTATTTATTTATATTTTGAGACAGAGTCTTACCATGTTGCTCTGGCTTACCTGGACTCTGTGTAGACCAGGCTGACCCAGAACTCACAGAGATTTCTCTGCCTCTGCTTCCAAGTGCTGAGATGAAAGCATATGCCTGCCTAACATCATCTTAAATTAGCAGATGAAAGCAAAATGAACATGTATTTTTCTCTTCTGTGTGAACCACTTTTCAGTGTCAATAAGTGTTCGTCAAATTCAAGTGCTTTTTTTCCTAAGCAAATTTAACCAGAAAATGCAGAAAGAAAGAGAACTGGGAGAAGTTGGGAAGTGGGGGGGTGGGGGGTGGGGGTGGTCACCATTTTCTAGACTCTTGTGGAATAATGGGTCCAGAAAATGATCTTCAGTGAATGCTAGACTTTTAATGTGAAAGATTTTGTGACCACTCCTGAGCCCTTCATTAATTTTATCCTCAATAAAAATGTAACTCTCAGACAGTAGCCTCCTCCTGATAGATTACAGCAGGACTGCCCAGATGACAAAGTAGTTCACCTTTCAAATTCTTTAAAACCAAGAGCTCCAGGAATGGATGGGCAGAGCAGATTCAGCACAAGAGCAGATTCAACAACATTTATTTCTAAAATGAGAGGGAAGAAAATCCAGCAAAGAAAGGCAGCTGACAAAACAAGACCTAGTGTTGCCCAACTGTAATTCCCTCAGGAGCAGAGACAGGCAGATTGCTGGGTTCGAGGCCAGCATGGTCTGCAGAGTGAGTTTCAGGGCAGCCAGGCCAACAAAGATAAATCCCTTCTCAAAAAACAAAAATTGGAGCTGACAAAATGAGTCTAGATGGTGGAACATTGCTAGGGGCTGGTTGTGGTCATTCGATCATGGAGGGCCGATGTTCCAGTTCCACTTTTGTACATGTCTGAAATTCCAATATTTTAACAACCAAAACAAATTGGAAACTAGTTGGAAATTATGAGATGACTGCATATTTAAACTGGTTAAATGCCACACAGCTGACAACCCTTTGATAGACCAAGGAAATTCTCTGTGGGCTTGACACATAAAATGGGTGTTGACTATCAGGAAATGTGAAATAAATGAATCCAGAACTAACACAAGCAAAAGCTTAAGGAAATAGTCAGCCCTTAACAGGATTTTCAAATTAACATGTTAAATAAACTTGACTAAAAAGACAACACACACACACACACACACACACACACACACACACACACACGTTAAATGTGATGTCACACCTATGATACCAGCACTTAGAAGGCCAATACAGGAGATGTAGGAGTTTAAGGTTAGCTACATAGCAAGACCCTGGCTCAAGAAATAGTAGTGACGATGACAATAAAAACTAGACCATGTCAGGGAGACGCTCAGTCAGTAAAGTCCATGCTGCTAAAGCATGATGACTTGGGATCCCTGGCAACCATGGAAACACCAGCTGTGACTTTTTCACCTCCATGTAACCCCAGCACAAGGCAGTGGTGGCAGTGTGTTTGTGACACCGGTGGAACCTTAAACTTGCCTGTAAGACCATCTGGCAATCACTGAAGCTCCAGGTTCAGTGAAGATTCCATGTTCAGTCTCAAAGTGACAAGGCAGGCTGGACATGGTAGCACAGGGCTTTAATCCTAGTACTCCAAGGCAGAGGCAGGCGGATCTCTGTGAATTTGAGGCCAGCCTGGTCTACAGAGAGAGTTCCAGCTGGGGTTCTGTAGTGAGACCCTGTCTCAGAAAAAAAAAAAGTAAAAATGAGGTGGAAAGCTGCTGATGAAGAGAGCTGATGTCAACCTCTCATCTCCAGATATGCTTACACACACACACACACACACACACACATACACACACACACACATACACACACA